GGGGGGGGGGAATCACTATTCCATGTCTAGTTAGTTGTCTTGAAAAAGCTCCCATGACTGTAAATGTCATATAGGAGGGTAATCTATCTATTGTGGCTTTTATCATCATTTCTCTACCATCATAGCAATCCTTAGGGGCGAGGGGTGGCCAAGAGAATGTGGGTGCTGAATTTTACATTTTAGTTTTCCCTAACTGGCCTCTGCTTTAATAATGTGACTCTGATTTACTCCTAAAGAATACATTTGTTTCACTCATACTCCACATAAATTGTAACTCTTTAATTCACCTTTGAATGCTCTTCTGCCAGTAGTCAGGACTCCATGGTGGCATTAGACCAGGTGTATTTTCTAATACCTGTCGACTGGGGGGGTGATTATTAAAATTTTGACCCAGTTCACACTGCAAGACTTGCATGTTAAGAACATGGTATGAGTGAATCTGTTCAAAAGTTTAGCAAGAGTTGAAAGAGTGACTTGGTGTATATATGGCAATATAGTTTGGCATCCTATGGATTTAGATACTTTCTGGGTTCAGATTGTGAAAGTAAACAACCACAGAATGGCTTCCTCATATGTCTTGACCTCTGCATCAGTTAACCCAAAATTTATTGTGGAATTATAATTACATAAACAGGGCTTCAGACAGTTCTGATTCCAAGAATGCTTGGTCAGAACATTCTGAGAGGTTGCTACCGAATATTTCCTACACCTTTTAATATTACAATGTCTTTTGCAGGCTCTCTGCACTTCTGGAGCCTGGGCACTGAAGATCCACTTCTAGCACATTTCATACCTGTAAGTTTGGCAGTTAGAAGAGATTTTCTGCTTAACTGCAGTGGAATCTCATTTTCTGCCTTGAATTTATTAACATATATGTGTGCATACTGTTGCTGATCAATTGCAATGTAAATCCAAAATCATAGTAGCAAAGTCTTACTGGACTTGCTACATCCAAGTACAATGAACAGATGGCAAATAAGTAATAGCAGGTTGTGATGAACAGGCTGGGTAGGTGGGACTCATTCAGCCCTGGAAGGCAGCTCATCTAGAAGATGGAAAACTCTGATTTCAAACCCCCACTGAGGCCCTGCCATCGCCGTCCATGCCATGAGGGAACAGGCCAGGTAGGTGGGACTTGTCAGCCCTGGAAGGCAGCCCATCTAGGAGAAGGAAAATTCCGATTTCAAACCTCCACTGCCTTGTGGCTATATCCACTGATGGAAAAGGCTTCAGGAGCTTACCTCAAGGCAAAATCCAGAGCTGGAATCCCGGAGGCAGTTCATGTCATTCTGTCAACTCCTGCAACATCGCTGAAACCAGTTGTATTGGCTCTTGCCTTTCCATTGGACTATTTCAGTGACATGGAGAGGGGGGATTTGCTGGTTGGGTAACAGCCTATCCTCCACATTATTTTACCCAGGCTTTGTGCCCTGGAGAGTACACTCTAGCTTCGCGTACAGCATCAAAACATTTGACACTGTTCCAAGTCCTCCATACAAAGCACGTTACCATAGTCTCTCAGGACTGAAGGATGCTTATGATGCAGTGTAAACCAGGGTTGGGCAACTAAGTGCCAAACTATAGTAGACATGGAACACCCAGATACTTGTCTGTTCTATCTTAAACTTTGCTCAACCCCACATTTTGCAGCGTTTTCGCGCCCTTGGTAAGCAAGAGGAGCGTGCGAAAACACTGCGGAAGCCCCGAAATGACTGCGCACAACCATTTCGGGGCTTCTGGCAGCGTTTTCGCGTGCTCCCCTTACTTACCAAGGGCGCGAAAACGCTGCGCCCCGGCCCCTTTCGGCTGTTCCGGCGGCCATTTTTGACCTGCCGAACAGCTGATGGCAGCCATTTTGGCCCCCTCGTTCTGCGAGGGGAGGGCGCGAAAATGGCTGCCGCCTGTGGAGGAACTTCGCTGAACGGTGAGTTTGAAAGCCATAGGAACGCATTGAACAAAGTTCAATGCGTTTCTATGGCTTTTTCCCTCCCGCACAGCGATGTTTCCCACAGCGAAGGTTAATCCGGAACAGATTAACCTCGCTGTGCGGGGCACCACTGTATTTTACCCAGGCTTTGTGCCCTGGAGAGTACACTCTAGCTTCGCGTACAGCATCAAAACATTTGACACTGTTCCAAGTCCTCCATACAAAGCACGTTACCATAGTCTCTCAGGACTGAAGGATGCTTATGATGCAGTGTAAACCAGGGTTGGGCAACTAAGTGCCAAACTATAGTAGACATGGAACACCCAGATACTTGTCTGTTCTATCTTAAACTTTGCTCAACCCCACATTTTGTAAATTAGTTTGCATTGTTCTGTGATCAGTAGGCATGGGCTTGAGTCTTATTGCTCACACATGTGGCTCTAAAAATGCCATCACAGGAAGAGAGATGATTAATTACAAGTTTAGCATATCTTGTAGTTTGATCCTAAGAATGCTTAAGGAATTTGAGTTATATGAATTTTGATAGAAACTGAGTTAATCTACATCTACTGTAGATAGATGTATTCGTTATATTCATTATTTCATTTGTTCTAGTCAATTTAGATGTGTATGAAGTCCTAGGTTGTTCTGACACCCAAGACTGGGCTTTAGAGTATCCCTAAGAATATTGAAAGTGGCTTCTATTGACTAATTATTAGTTAATAACGTGGCTTGTGTTGACCTATGTTCCAGTCCAGAGGAAACTCTCTGATCAGTAGCATTGCTGTGACTGCCAATGATTCATATCTGTATGTCGCCGATGAGGATGGGTATGTGTACATCCATGACATCCAAGAATATGCTGTTCAGGATCCAGAAACAGAAGCACCAAAATGTATGTTCATATGTATGTTTTAGCTTTGGGGTTATAATGGAACAAAAATGGGTTGAAAAGTAAGTATGGAATGAGTCACTTTGGAAACCCACATTTTGATATTCTTTACATTCTATGTAATAGATTGTCATTCCTAAATGTATCAGTTGTAGAACAAAGTCAAGAATAAGTTAATTATATTAGATGGATGGCATTTTCCTTGGCATCCTCAAATGTAGCTAAACAGCTGTTCCTGGTTCAAAAGCACCATAAAGTCTGAGAATACCATTCCCTAATCTTTTGCTGTCTTTAAAGAAGCTGAGATGCTTTTAATCCACTACTATCCAAGGTCTGCACTTAAGTTTCCTCTGGAACTTCACAAGGGATTCTGAAATGGACTTCTGGGTCAAGCATAGGCAAAATTGTTACGTCCAGGGACTAATGCATTGATTTCCGCCCCCACCACCAAAATTTGGCAGCAACCAGGAAACCTCTCATTAAAAGCATTAAAAATTAGTTTCTTGGCACAAAATTATTGATTTCTAAGTCTGTATCTTTTGCATCAGGTTCTAGCTAGTTGATCTCAAGGTCCTAATAAGAAATTATATTCTGCAAGCTTAGTCTGCCCACCCCCATGTATATTAATATGTATTATATCTGTAAACATAGTTATTTTGCTATATGTTTCAGATGTAAATCATTGGAGAGCTCATTTGAAGCAGATCATGTCGTAAGTATTGATTTAAGTTTTAACAAAATAATGATTTGTATATGTACATGTCTAACCATTTACTTTTCTGGCTTAACAAACAGATTAGAGGTCATAGATGAAGACAATGTCCTGTTATCCTGTTCTGTTGATCGTACTGTTCGCCTCTGGAGCCTGCGAGGAGAATACATTGGTAAATGATATGTTCACAAAGCACTAAAAATGTATTATACCTCAAGGGCAGTTGACACTTAAGCAGAAGGAAATCTGACAGCTATAATGATAAGGTGGACTTAAACACACACAGTGCTGTGCTATTATTATTTCTCCAGTATATTTAACAGGATTGATAACAGGGTGCTTTTGAGGATGAATTTTCCAATTTGGCCTTGCACCACCTGAAAGATCAACAAACAAATGGTACTATGAGCTTTTTCATCAGATATATTAAGTGGATTAGTTATACAATTATATTTGATATTACATTACATACTATATATGAAGGCCAAGCAATAGTTTTTTCATCAGATATATTAAGTGGATTAGTTCTACAATTATATTTGATATTACATTACATTACATACTCGTGGCGCAGTGGTTAAACCGCTGTACTGCAGCTAAAACTGTGCTCACGACCTGGGGTTCAAATCCCAGGTAGCCAGCTCAAGGTTGACTCAGCCTTCTATCCTTCCGAGGTTGGTAAAATGAGGACCCAGCTCGCTGGGGGGGCAATGTGTAGCCTGCATAATTAAATTGTAAACCGCCCAGAGAGTGCTTGAAGTGCTATGGGGCGGTATATAAGCAGCACGCTTTGCTTTGCTTTATATATGAAGGCCAAGCAATAGTTGTTTTTTAAAAAATTATTCATTTTCAATGGGTATAGGATTGGGGGTAGGGGTCTGGGGGAATAGATATGGGTAGGGGAAATGTAAAATTCCAGAGAGCGAGAGTACTTTTACATCCATTTATACAATTATACTAAGATAAAAAGATAACAAACAAACAAAAACAGGTTTTACCAGAATTGCTATGATTACTAATCTCTCCATTGCCTAATTGGACCTTCACATTCTTCTTTTATCTGTGTTTTCCAATCCATATTTCGAGTCCAGCTGTAAAATCGTCCCCAGTTTTTGAGTTCTTTTTGAGATGACCTTTCATTTAGTGGTTCATCTCCACCATTTCCAGTATCTTTTCTGTCAGCTCTTCTAGGGACGGAATTTCTTCTTTCTTCCAATATTTCCCATATAGTATTCCTAGCTGAAATAATTGCATATATTATCAAATATTGTATTTCTTTATCTACAATCTCAGGCATAATATTCAATAGAAACAATTCCGGTTTAAATTGTATGGCACAAGATACAATTTTTTTTCAACATTCCATGTACTAATTTCTAGTAATTTTTTGCTTCCCTACATGTCCACCAAACATGATAGAAAGTACTCTCTTGTATTTTAACATTTCCAACACTTGTTAGAAACATTTTCATACATTTTAGAAAGTTTTGCTGAGTTATATGCCATCTATAAAACATCTTATATATTTTTTCTTTGAAATTTAGTGATTTTGTTTAATATTATTTTGCCAAATTTGTGTCCAATGTTCTAAATCAATATTATGACCAATATTTTGTCCCCATTTTATCATACAGTCTTTCACCATTTCAGCTTCCATTTTCATATTTAAGAGATATTCATACCTTGCCATCCACAAAAACAGGTTTTACCAGAATTGCTATAATTATTAATCTCTCCATTCCCTAATTGGACCTTCACATTCTTCTTTTATCTGTGCCCACTGTTTTATCTTTTATACACCTTGATTCTAATTGTAATCTCATCCACCAATCTAGAAAGACTTTCTGCTCCTCTAATTCCTCTTTAGTCTTTAATACCCCATCTTTCTTAAGCAAATCTCTATACCTAAAGTTTTGTTGAGTGCACTAAGGTTGGCTATGTAAATGCTTCTAATCGCAACCAGAAGATGACATGACTGTAAAATAAAACATCCCCTGAAAATAAGTCCTAATGCTTTTTTGGAGCAAAAATTAATATAAGACCCTGTCTTATTTTTGGGGAAACACGGTATGTATTATGAAAAGAAGGACACCATTATTACTATCGGATCACTGGCAGGAATCTTATTCATTTGCATAATTTCTTATAGGTAATTCTGGATAACTAATGAAGTGCTAAATTGCATCTCAGTGGAAAAGCTGCACACGTGACCCGCTTTGTGAGATGTTGTTTGATACATTGTCAATAATTTAAATAAGCTGCAGCAAGTTATGCAAAAATCTATGGAAATACTGATAGGATTCTATGCATTGTTTAATCTAAAATAGCATGATCTTCTGTTACTAGGTAATATTTCTTCTTCTTCTTCTTTTTTTTGAATACTCACAAGCACAGTTGTTGTTCTTCACCAGAGTTGTAGGAAGAGCTGCCTCTATGGAATGCTGTTTCTTCAGTATGCCCATTTGATACTTTTCCCTTTCTTTGTCTCCAAAGGAACTTTTGGCCAAGCTGAGCCTTGGGAAATTTTTACCCCATCATCCTGGAAGCATCCCAGAGTTCCATATGAAATTCTGATAGATCCACAAAGTATGCCCAGCCACCCTGTGCTAGAAGATCAGCCTCCTGGTGTGCAAATCATGGGCCAAGATAGAAGAACTCAGGATGTTTCTACCCGCAAGGTCTGTGTTATCAACAGAAAACATTGCCAAGTTGTGATACAGTGCTGTTAATGGGATGAATATGGCTAGAGATTGTTAAGGATGATGGGAGTTGTAATCCAACAGCATTTGCCAGGTCACATATTCTGTACCTCTGAATCCACCATCTTTTATGGATTCTTTGACGGGGCCAACAAAATGGCACACCTTAGAGAGGCTGTGGAACAATTTTCATTTTGGTTGACAGCTCAAGAGCCCCACCGCCCCTGAACTGATGGGGAGAAAAGGCTGCTGGAAATTAGTGATGCGGTCTGCCCCTGAAGAACAGCACCATGGCTTTCCAGCTGTTTCCCCAGCTTCACTGCTGTTGCTTAATGTTTATTCCAACATATTTAACTTACTTATTAATTTAACTTCACAGCTTTCTTTTTGTTTAAGAGTGCTTTTCTATGCCTTAATTGGTTTAATTCTGTAAAGATGTCTTCCAACAGAGTGTTTATTATGTCTTCTCTTCCTTCCACATTAATTGGAGAGTACCGTATTTGCTATTTCCCATTACATGTCTCAATGGATAGGGACTGTTTGGGCGCAGGAGAATCACAGCTCAGTGGCTTTTAAAAAAGAACTATTTCTAGGGGACCCCAGTCTATAACAATCAAAGACATAATTTAGGAATGCATGCTGGATTGCATTTCTTGAATGTAGTTCAAGGGCACACCTTGAGATATACTTTTTTCTAATTGCCAAGATGGGAGAGATTGCTGGGAATACTGTTTTATAATTTTCAAAAGTAATTTATTCCTATTAACTTATTACAGTGTTTTTAAAGTGAATGATTGTCATTATGTGGCATAATGCTGAGCAAGTACCCTGTGGCATTCATTACTTGCAGCACTGCCCATAACCATTAGAACCCGGCCACGAAAGCCTTCGCGAGCACAATTTGCTTTGCTTTCTGTTGCCTTTTGATTAGGGAAGCTCTTAAAACGTAACAGATTAGCAACTCCTGACAAACCGATTCTAAAAACGTTGATACTTTTAAAAAGTAACTTGTGGAAGTAATTCCACCTTTGTTCTTTATGACTGTATTACTTTTGAAACATAACTTTATCACATACTCGTTATCTAAAAAATTAGCCATTACCACTTGTTCTTTATGACTGTATTACTTTTGAAATATAACTTTATCACACACTCGTTATCTAAAAAATTAACCATTACCATGTTTTCCCAAAAATAAGACAAGTTCTTATATTAATTTTTGCTCCAAAAAACACATTAGGACTTATTTTCAGGGGATGTTTTATTTTAGTCATGTCATCTTCTAGTTGCTGCACAACGGTGGAGAGCAAGGTTTAACTTAACTGGGCTTATTTTGGGGGTAGGGGTTATACGTATTAGGAGCATCCTGACAAATCAAACCAGGGCTTATTTTCAGCTTAGGCCTTCTTTGCAGGGAAACAAGGTATATTACTTCTAATGCATTACTGTACTTCTAAGCTCTGACCTTCTCAGACAAAGCAGACTAGGCTTCACCCATCCTTGTTTGAATAACTCTGAAACTGTGTTTATTGCAATGTGCTCCACATAAGACTACATTTCTGCTTTGCTGATGAGGGTGGATGCATTTTAGTCTTGTGTCTCAGGTCTGATGATTCTGCCTTACTTGCTGCTTTTACTGCTCCAGTGATGATAAGCATGTTATGGCTTCTCAGACAAAGCAGACTAGGCTTCACCCATCCTTGTTTGAATAACTCTGAAACTGTGTTTATTGCAATGTGCTCCACATAAGACTACATTTCTGCTTTGCTGATGAGGGTGGATGCATTTTAGTCTTGTGTCTCAGGTCTGATGATTCTGCCTTACTTGCTGCTTTTACTGCTCCAGTGATGATAAGCATGTTATGGTATGGATGTCTCAGGTCTGATGATTCTGCCTTACTTGCTTTTACTGCTGCAGCGATGATAAGCAAGTTATGAATGTATGTAATGCAGCAGCTGCCATTTTGCTTTTATCAGGAAGCAAGACGTACATCTCAGTCCTCCCAAGTCACAGTTACTGATGAGGACATAAAAGAAGAACTCAAGAAGCAGTTTTACGCACAAGTTTCAAGCAGAAGGTGAGTGGAAACCCAAGCCAAAACCTATTTTTACAGTGTGCCATAATACTGACTGCTATTTCCTTTCTCTAGGCTGAAGTATGAGCGATCCACGCTTTTGAATAGGCGGGTTCACCACAGGGGAGCAAACACGTACCATGCAATCAACTATTATGAAATTCACCATTTCCCAGGAAACTGTGAGAAGCCTGACTTGTCTGTCCTTGGCACAGATATTTTCAGTGCTAGTTATCAAGGAGTAGCTGAGCCATAAGATACATAGCTAGCACAGTGTTTACCTCATCCCTGGAAGGTCAGTGGAAGCCCTTGTTCAATCTGCTAGCACAGTGTTTACCTCATCCCTGGAAGAAGGTCAGTGGAAGCCCTTGTTCAATCCTTCCCATTGTTTCTTTCTCCCTGTCTGAAACCATGTTCAGCAAATGTAACTTTAAAGTAATGTGCTTGGCAGCTCTGTAAGAGAATGATGCTGTTGTTTCACACCTCACAAAACAGATCAATACATTCATACTGGGTGCAAGTGGCAGTGCTGTTACCAATTATAGGTTGGTTTGGGCAGAGAGGTGGGACCAAAGCAATTCTCAGTATCACTCAGAGTTAAACTGGTGAAGTGTTTTGTTCTGAAATGAAAGGCATGGCAGCCAAATGGTATCTGGGGTATTATTGTTGTGACTTGTATATCACCCTAAAGCACTCTCTGGGCAGTTTACAACATAGTTATGCAAATAACACTTCCTGCCCTCCCAAGAGCTGGGTACTTATTTACTGACCTTGGAAGGGTGGAAAGCTGAGTCAACTTTGAACCAACTACCTGAATCTATTGGGATTGAACTCAGGTTGGGAGCAGAGGCTTGACTGCAGTATTGCAGTTCAACCAATGTCCCACAGGTTCCCCTTCCTTACTAGAATTTTACCATGCTAAGGATAGATTGCAAAGCAATTCCTCACAATTGAATCTGCCCCAGAATTATTGCCCATCTCTGAAGGCCCTGCATCAAAATCCTGACATCAGATCCCCAGTGGCTATAGAAAGGTCATTCTTATTGTGTAATGTGAAGAACAGAATTGTGTTCATTTGCTTTTGGGTAGGCCCACAAAACTGATATCACTCAAATTGGGGAAAAAATGGAATTTTGATATGGCAATATGTATAGAATGGATGTTAGTATGTCATTGTTTCTCCTCTTCCCCTTAACCTCAATCTTTTTTTTCCTTCCTGTTACCCTATGTTAAAAATAAAATATCTTTTAAAAAAGTATCTGTCAAGATCTGTAAGAACTATTATATTCGCTTAGTCCAAATCTATGAGACTTAAGTACATTTGCTTACATTACCCCCCCAACCCCCCACCGTTGAAGGCTGGAGGGCATGAAGCTCATTGGAAGCAGCTTAAATTGTATGGCACAGCAGTATATGCTTCACAGGCCGGATTGTCATTTTTATGCAGCTGCGTGCCTGTGCTCTAAACTGCTGACAAAATTACAGCCACCGACTGACACAGCAAGCACATTCCAGCTTAGAGATGTAGCACTCAAGCCGCACTGTATTGAATCCTAAATTGGTCGCACACAGGTTTCCACAGAAACAAATGGGACAAATTAAGCATTCAGACTTGACTTGGACCCCTTAGGAAACAAATGTAACTAACCTAACCCGGGGAGAGAATGTTGGGCCTCACAAATGCTTTGGGCTTCAGTTGCCAGAGGCCATGGTTAACTATCAGGGAATAAAAGAGACATCAACCGAACAGCTGGAGAACTAACATTTCCTACCCCTATAAATTAATCTTTTTACACTCATGATTTTTTCTTGAAAAGGTGCACAACCAAGCACTTATTTTCTCCCACTGAAACCAACAAAGTGCAAAAGTTCTCACTAGGGACTATGTCCTTGGTCTAATGGAGTAACCTTTGGAGGTGGTCTCTGAACCGTTGGCTTCTGAAATCAAGACAAACAGCTGCATTAGAAAATAAGCACTACAGAGGCACAAAGCAAATATTTTAATAACTATAACCATTTCAATGAACTTTATTAAAGCTCACTAAAGGCATCACAGGAACTTACAACATGATCAGAGCTATTACCTCCATTTGGCTTTCCACACATGAGAATGTGTACGTTGAGCAAGAGACTAAACTTAAAGCAATTCTGCATGCTGCTTCACATATTTCGTCTCAGCTTTTCTTCTAGCAAACATTTCGGACAATAATACAAAGAACTTTTTCTTTAAGTTTGGTTTTCATGTAGGCTTTTGATGGAAATGGGGAAAAAAGTCCAAGAATGAAGAAAGAAAAACTACCTTGGCATTTGCAGAAGTTTTATAGGTGCAACCCTTTTGAAAGAGCAGTACTTTTTGTTAACAATTCCTTGGTATTACAGCATCAATTGAAAGATTGTATTCCCACACAGAAGATTTTAGTAAGTGTTCACAATTCCACAGGAATCTGAAAAGTTACCAAGGCAATTTTCCTTTTCGGATTATCATGATCTCCACGTTGACTTTCTCAATACGTTCATTCCCCACATAATACAACAAAACTCCAAAATATAAATAGTTCCCCCAAACATTACATTTCCCCCCTTATCACATAATACAGCTGATGTCTTTTTCCACAATGTAATTGCTCACTGAGGTGTGGCAGTCTAGTCCAAGTCCATGTTAACTGAGCTCTCGTTCATGTGACAGTCGCCGTTCTGCTGCGCTGTCTCAATATTCTTAATTTCTTCTTCTAAATCTTCATTTTTATGAACAGGAGGTGTCTCCATGGGCTCTTCCCTTTTAGGAGAGTCCACTTTGGGCTTTGGTTGGGTTACAATTGGCTCACACAAACTGTACAACTCCTATAACAGAAAGGAAAAAAGCACACCCTTAAATACATGTACAGGCGGCGTACCTTGGTTTACGAAATTAATGTGTCCTCCAGGACGTTACATAATACAGAAATTTTGTAAAGCGATACACAGATTGAGCTAGGAATGGGTGCAGCGCTAGAAACCTTCAGGCGCAATGAGTCCTGGGGATGCCCTTTTGTACAGCAGGAAAAAAAAGTGGGATGCCCTTTTGTACAGCAGGAAAAAAAGTACGTAAACTGGAGCATTATTTTCTATGGATTTTGGTTCGTAAACCGAAAATTATGTAAACCAAGGCTTTCGTAAACCGAGGGATTTGCAACCAATGACAGCTGTGTTTCTCAGCTATTTTCAAAGTAATATCCCAATTAATCAACAGCAGAAGTGTTCCTGTTGACCAAAGCAGCCACCCTTTCTCCAAGGATATCAAGCAAATGAGAAATGGACAAAACAGGTCATTGCACTCAACTTCTGCCCACTCCTGAAGCAGCACAGCAATAAATCACAGACTGAGTGGGAGCTACGTAAACACCACCATCTAATCCTATATAGTTTTCCCCCACTTTGTCTTCAAAACTGATGTAAGCAGCTTCTTCTGGCCTCTTATATTAAATCACACATAGGCTACTGTGGCCCTGCAGATGTTTTGGACTACAACTCCCATCAACCCTAGGGAGCCAATGGTGGGAGTTTATGGGAGTGGCAATTCAAAACATTTTGAAGGACAGAAACCCACCCCTGCATCAGACAGAGCAAAGCAATCATGCCAAACAACAGATTTGGAGGGGAAGGCTTAACGGACAGAGCAGTGTGTGCTATGTGGCCTGGCCTGCAGGGTGGTGAAGGATACTGCCCTGCTTCCAATGCTGAAGCAAGATTCAATTTGAAGACAAGTTCAATTTGTACATGGAATAGGGAGGGGTGCTATTTTGTCCTTTGCCTCAGGCAGCAAAATACCTTTGGCCATAAAAACAAACACTTGAGCAGTTGGGAGTTTAGCTTTTTCTTCAGCAATTGAATTGGCACCATAATTAACACTTACCCTCAGCTTTCCTCTGATTTCATTTACACGGACAATGGGGTCCTTATCTAGACTCTGTTTTGCTTGTGCATTGATCGTGTTGTTTAACCACTCCATTGTTTCATGGACACACTTCTCTACTTTGCTCATTTCAGCTTCATCAATATGGATGTACTTCTCATCCTAAAACAGGAAAGAATGGAATACATGAGTGATTTATAGTGGACCCTCGACTTACAGACTTTTCGAGTTACAGACTTCTCTGGCCACAAAATTTAGATTCAACTTACAGCCAGAGAATCGACCTACAGACCAGAAAAAAAACAAAATGGAACAAAAACGGAACAAAAATGGCCGGTTACAGATTTATCGGTTTTCAATGCATTGTAGGTCAATGGAGATTCGACCTACAGACTTTTCAACCTGCAGCCACCGTTCCAATACGGATTAATTCCGTAAGTACAGGGTCCACTGTATTGTAAATCACAGGCTCCTAAAGCATCAGTTAGCTTTACAATTTTGACACTAAGAGCCACTTGGTGTGCTCACTTAAGTCCTGAAGATCAAAGACTTTTGCTAATTGTAGAACAAGATGTCCAAGTGACGTATTTCTTGAGTTCCAGGTCACATGCAAAAGGGGGAATTTCTACTCTATTTTCACAGGGAGAATGCACACATTCTCCAGATGCCAGGCTAAATACTTGTTCCTGCTGTTTTTATAGGCTAATATCTGAAATTATTTGTTACAAGACTACTCTTGTAAAGTCTGTTACATCTCACCTCATCCCATCATTCCTGTATCTCATGTATAAGAGAGGAACTTGGGCGATGCTTGTAATTGTCCATGCTTTAAATACAATCCTTTACTATTATTAAGTATGTGAGAAAGCTAAAAAAGCATAGATGACCTTTGCACTTAGCTACAAACCATATAAGGGATAATGTAAATGTTATTGAAATGATCAGTCAATATGAGTTTGTTTTTAGGCTATAGTGGGCCTGTGGAATCAGCAAGATGCCAAACTTTAGATTAGAAACAGGATGTATGATATTCATGCATCTGATGGCACACAAAATCAGCATCAATTATTTCCCATTTATGACTTTTAAGAGGAAATAAGTATGTCTGCAAGAATACCTTTTAGAGTCATTAGTTTGCAAATCCGAATGGGCCTTTACTGCATTAAGATCACAACTTTATGAAGGGATATACAGTAGTGCCTCGCTTAGCGAGGTTAATCCGTTCCGGATTAACCCTCGCCCAGTGAAACATCGCTAAGTGAACTTAAAAAGCCCATAGGAACGTATTAAAACTGATTTAATACCTTCCTATGGGCTTAAAACTCACCGTTCTGCGAGGTTCCTCCATTGCGGCGGCCATTTTGGATGCCTCGTTAGCGAGGCAATACAGCGGTCGCCATTTTGTTTCAGCAGCGGCCATTTTGGAGCATAGCGAAAAAAGCCCATATGGGCCATCGCTGAGCGAACGCTCCCGCGATGGCCCGCAACCCCTCGCTATGCGGTTTCATCGTATAGCGAGGCGCTCGCTATGCGAGGCACCACTGTACAAGGTAGTGCCTTATAAGGAAATATAACGTTTTTTTAAAAAATCTGGTTTGGTTAAGAGTACAGAAGCTTAGCAATCCAATAACAATCTAACTAACATACCCAACAGAACCTGTTTCGGATTAATTATTCCCTATCATGCTACCAGTTTTGGGTTAGGTAAGGAGTTGATAGAATGATCTCCTCACATAAACAAACCTCTTTTACAGTTTTGTAATGCAGTGCAAGAACTGAGAGGGGAGCTTCTAGGTTAAATCCACTGTGAGTTAGATTGCATACCTTGTTCCTGTACTCTTCGGTAATCCTGGCATAGTTCTGAGCCTTGTGTCTCAGTTCATCCAGCAGCTTTGGCCGTTCTTCTGCTTCTTGGTATCGGATTTCAATGGGAGTCCCAAATTTCTAAAGGCATTAGAATAACAAATTATACATTTAGAGTGCACAGGTGTACAAATCTACTCAAAAGTAAGTTGAAAGACTTCTACAGGGTTTATTGTTACATGCAGCTGGAACATAACTGAAGTCTTACTTCCCTTTAATTTCTCAAAAATAAAATTGCTTTACCTTTAGTTCAGCAAGTTTGTCCATATAGACTTGTTTCGGTTGGTCCTCTCCTTCTTCATACAACCAGTCTTCTACCTCTGACAGTAGTGTGGAGAAACTCTGATGATCCTAAGTTTAAAATTTATACATAGCAAGTATATCCATGTTTTCAACTTTTCATAAAACAATAATTTATTGTACAGAAAAAAATGGATGACTGGGGAAAACAATAATTACATTAAATGAAAACAACAGAGACCAACAATGTCCAAGGCTGGACTACACATCTATTGAATCACTAAAAAGTAAGATGAATCTTTGCATTCTCCAGAACTCCTTCTATTGAGTTAAAAGTGGTTAAAGCAAATACTATAGCTCAAACATTAAGCCAGATATGATTCTGTAATCTCTACAACTTTGGGTGCCATGATCTTAGGTTTCTTCAAAGAGAATTACACAAGTTTGTGGAGTACAAGTTTATCAATGACTACTAGTTAAGATGGCTGCACAGCGTTGTCTAGGAACAGAAGCTGCATGCAACTATTGTCTTTCAAGGGAACAACAACAAAGCCTATTCAGGCATTCAGCAAAGGGTTAATTGGGAAGTTTGAGCAGATATGACAACATTGTGTCCCCATGCCCTGGCTATTACTTTCTCCATAGAAAGAGGAAACTTTCTGTTAGATGGGAACTCTCTCTACAAAACTAAGGATCCTGAAAAAACCCTGGTTCTTGAGCCTCTCCATGTGATCAAAAACAATCCCTAATGGCCAAGAGAGCTACCATGTGTAGCAAACTGTCTCCTCTTCCAGCTGTCCCTCCTGCCATGGACGCAGGTCATGAACTATATGCCTTTTTCAAGTTGAATATCTTGAGTAGAGCTTAGGAACAGGCTACCATCTCTGGCCAGAATCCTATTTGCTGCTTCCATTGTGTAAATGGCTGAAAAGATTCTGAACTTGAGCAAAGAGGTACCCAGTATAACTCCTTGCACAAATGCATCTGATGAACTGGATTTTGAGCAACAGAAGCTCACATTCCAACAAATGTATTATCTTTAAGGGGCCACCACGTTTCTTCCCTTTAATTTTGCCAGTTTGTACAAGTCCAAAAACTACTTGTACAATGCAATGTACTTGCATAGACAGATAATGCCAACTCCCTGTTGTGCGCAGCTTCTCTGAAACATCTGATGTTTCAGGAAGTTTTCAAGCCACCTTTTTTTTTTAAAAAAAGTATATATTTAATAAATAGCTATTTAACTTAGGAATTACAGACCACCCTAGAAATGTTTATGTATCTTCCTTTCAGCAGCAACTTTTTGAATAAATGAAATACCTGTTCAGAGACAAATTTCTCATAGGATCCAGAAAGCTTGTCTCTAAAGTAATAAACATACTCTTCAACAGCATTCTTTGCATCATTTCTCTCCTTCTCCAGTTTGTCTTGCATAATCATCTTACCCTGTACCAAAATCAAGCAATTACAACAGAATGAGTCTCAGTACTGAGTTGTATGAGAAAAGCAAGCCTCCTACTGCAACACTTCACTTACAATACACCTTATAGTTCAGTGAAAGGCAGTGCTTTCTGACATTTTAAATTTCTGTTTAAGAGTTGCCAAATTGTTAATGATTAAAACTAATTTTTAAGCAAGACAATATAATACAAAATAAACATTTATAATAGCTGCATGAGCATTTGACCTCATTTACACAAACACTAACAGCACTGCCTTAACCGTATTTGTGAATAAGCCACTCAAGAACACATAGCAGGGGTAGACCTTTCTATTATGAGTCAAGCTCATACGCTCAAGCTGCTAGGCACGAAGAACCAAATGATACACATTTTAATTGTAGAGTATGCAGTTCAACATTCCTGCAGGTCTTAAGGACTGCAACCTAAGCCCAGTTAATACTGAAACCATCTGGACTTATATCTGAATTAGAGATGGGCAAAACCCAAAGAGCCATGCTTCATTCGAAGCATGCTGCTTATCATCACAGGTGCCGTGTGGAACCGTCCCCCTGCCCCCTGGCTGGCTGGCCCACTCACAATGCATCGTGCACTGCCAGGGTCCATCTTCTCTGACGGCACTCCAGTCTGGCCAGGAGTTTAGCCTGCCCTTCCCTGCCCTCTCTGGCAGCTGACCACTCCACAGCTGCACAGGGGGAATGCTGCCGGAGGGGGCCGGGAAGGGCAAGCTGAACTCCTGGCTGGACTGGAGTGCCACCAGAAAAGGAGAACCCCACATGATGCCTTGTGAGTGGGCTAGCCACCTGAGGTGGTGGTGGTGGTTGGGGGATGGCACCACGTGGCATGCTTCATACGAAGCACAACGTGAACTGTGATCTCTAGTTTAAACAACAGAAGCAGAAACGAGAGTATTTAATAACTGTAATTTCCTTATTCTTTTTTTTAAAAAAACAACAATGCATTTTTGACAGTTCTTGGTGGGTCTCAGGCAGGTCTTTTGTATTGCATGATGAAGTCCTAGCAAGGCAATGACCCCAAGAGCCAAAAACTCATCTCAATCACAAGATGTCCAATATTCAGATGTAGATGTCAACAGTGATTCAACACACCTCTGTTTCGATGTACATATTGAGCAGATCTTTTCCAAGCTGCCAGACCAAGTTCGCTTCAATAGGCAACTCAACATTCTTCACTTTCATCTTTGGTTTCTTAGCTTCTGGGGGCTGATCACTTTTCTTTTCATTTCCCTGGGGGCAAAGAAAAGAAGGCGTCATCAAATCAGTAATAAGACAGCCATTCCGCAGAGAGCTTTTGCACAGTGCTTTGCAACATGCACAATCTAAAGCATTTCAACAGACTCAAATAATTTTTAAACAATCCGTTCAACTTACATTGCTAAAGCATTTATCTGCTTATTTTTTCCAAAAGGAAATTATTATAAATAGTTAAAACCAAACTTTTTTTCCAAGTAAACACATTGAAACACTCACTTTTTCAGCTTCTGGGGTTTTGTTTTCTTCAGGGGGAGCCTCAGGAATAGGGGGAGACTGTGATGTCTGCTGACCATCTGTTTGTACCTGGGGTTGAGCTCCAGCCTCATTGTTCACTTGCTGGATGTTCTTCTGCAATAGGAGCCCAGGCACAAAAGATGTGAATAGTAGACGCGCACGTAATTAGAAACCATTCAAGAGTGACACTGTATTTGTGTGTGAAATGCCTTAACTACAAAGGTTATCTTGTGGATCTTTCCTACATCAACAGAGAGTTTCTGAACCTGCTGGAGGAGAGCAGGGCATGGCCACACAACTGATTGTCACTTAGTTCCTGGCCAGTGGAGCTTCTTTTCTTCCCTGTAATTCAGACAGGAACCAGCTGCTTCACTCCTTTTCTTCCTTCCCCACATGGAGAAGAGAGAAGAACAACAAAGTGAACTGAGCAAGTAGCCCACAGCCGCTGGCCAGCCCCTGATCTGGAGAGTTACTCAGAGTCTGCAAATTCTGGCTGAGAAGCAGCTGGTTACATTCCTCCTTCTTTTCACTGTGTGGGAAAGAAAAAAAGGAATGAAGAGCTTTCAGACAAGACTTCCAGGAGCTGGTGAGTCTCTGGAAAGCAGGACTCAACAAGCAACATCCAGAAAATACCAGCTGAGAGTGATAAGGGAATCCTTGCTTTCTCCTGTTACTGCTCAGTGACAACAGAGCGATTCTTTCCCGACCAGGAGACACTCAACCCTTCCACAGGACAATGCAGTGTCCCCCTCCACAGGCAGGCACACACAAACACGCACAAACCATCCATACTGGTATGAGACTAACCATTCTGCTGACCAAATGACACCACGTATCATTATCTCTAACTTCTCCTTTGAAGCTGCAGAATTGCCTCCCTTCCAGAAGAAAATGTCTTGCTTCTCACACCTCACCTATCTCATATTCCCCTAGCACAACACACCAAGTAGTTCTGAGGTCTTCCAAACACACAGACTCAGGAATTTGACTCAGGCCAGCAGACACAACCTGAGGCTTGCATTGAGACTAAGTTCATCTGCTAGGCCTAGCAGTGGATCTCATGTCACCTGATACCTGGCCCTTTTGATTTGCAATGCAATGAATGTATTCTATAACTTTAACTCAAGCTCCTTCCTACTGGTGGTGACAAGGGGGCAGGGGGACACCACTGTAAGACTGACGGTGAGAGCAAGAATGTTGGTATTGCTCCCCACAGAGTCAGCCAAGCTCTTTGCCAAATGGCAAGGGCAGTATGAGATAACCCTCTGGGTCAGTGAAGTGGATTATGAGGTAAACATGGTTGACAAGAAGAAAAAACTGCAGGTACTCCATGCAAATCTGTTAAAGTTGTGGGTGGATAGGGAGACTTTATTTGGAGACTGTGAACGAGATGGAGCTGGGACCAGAGGCCCCTTCTAATGAATTAACTCCAAATCCCTTGGTGGTGGTGGACGATCAGATAAGCCCAGGACAGCTAGATCAAATCCGGGCTTTGGAAAGAGAATTCCCAGATGTGTTCAGTAAAGCCAGGATGTACACACTGGGTGGAACATAATGTCGAAACTCCCCCAGGGATGGTGGTGAAATCAAACAAAAGGACCTGGCCCAGACAGCTAGCTCATGTGATTGAGAAAGAGATAAAGGAGATGCTGGCATTGGGGGTCATTAAACCAGCTAAGGAGCCTTGGCGCAGCTACCCGGTGGTTGTGCCGAAGGCAGACGGGTCAGTAAAATTTTGCATAGATTATCGTAAGGGCAATACCCTGTCCAAATTCGATGCGTACCCAATGCTGAAAGTGGGGGATTTATTAGACCAGCTAGGGGGCGCCAGATACCTTTTGTCAATAGACCTACCGAAGGGGTACTGGCAGATACCCCTAAGAGACCAAGACAAGGAAAAAACTGCTTTTTGCACCCCAATTGGCCTTTTCCAATTCTCAAAAATGCCTTTTGGTTTGCATGGGGCAGCTGCGACCTTCCAGCGCTTTATGGACCAGGTGTTAGCCTCGGTGCAGGATTGCGCCATGGCATATATTGATGACATTATCATATTCAGTTCCTCATGGGAAGACCATGTAACTCACACGTAGAGTGTCAGGGGAATTGAGGAGAGCAGGGTTAACTGCCAACCCCAAAAAATGTAAAATAGCTCTTCCTAAGGTGGAATATTTGGGGTTCACAGTGGGAGGGGGTGAAATTCTACCACAAGAGAAAGTCACCAAAATAAACCAATGGTATCACTCCTGTACCAAAAAGGAGGTGCAGCAATTCCTTGGACCGGTCAGGCACTATCGACAGTTTGTGCAGCAGTTCTCCACTTTGGCAGCTCCCTTGACAGACCTTACTCAGAAAAAGGCTGGGAGATGGGTACGATGAGAAAGCATTCCAAACCCTCAAGTCCATCTTGTGTGAGCTCCCCACGAGGTTTGCACCGGATTTCAATCTACCCTTCACCCTTTTCACCAACGCTTCAGATTTGGGCCTGGGGGCTGTCCTGGCCCACGTGCATGAAGGTGTGGAATACTCTGTTTTATATCTTGAGTCAAAAACTGACCCCAAAAGTCATCAAAAAGGAGGCCCTAGCAATTTGGTGGGCGACCCATTTCTTTAGATCACTGGTTCTTAACCTTGGGTTACTCAGGAGTTTTGGACTGCAACTCCCAGAAGCCTTCACCACCAACTCTGCTGGCTGGGGTTTCTGGGAGTTGCAGTTCAAAAACGTCCGAGTAACAAAGGTTAAGAACCACTGCTTTAGATATTAACTGTTGGGGGCCTTAATCACAGACCACGCACCGTTACAGTGGTTGGTGCAGATGAAGGATACCAACTCAAGGTTAACTTGTTGGTACCTGGCAGTTCAACCATTCTTCACAGTACAATATAGGAAGGGAAGGGACCATGCTAACGTGGATTATTTCTCTTGGCAGGGTCCCTGAGCAAAGAGTGAGGTGGAATGGATGGCCCTCTCGGATGGGGTGGTATGTAAGACTGATGGTGAGAGCAAAATTCCTCTCATGGGAATGTCATCCCTCCTGCCCTCTGCTGACAAGGAAGTGCAAACACTATCTATCCCACCTCCCAGGAAGATAAGACCACCTGGAACAGATCATAGAAGAAAAGCTGAAAGGAATGACTGTTAAAGAAAGCGGGAATGTTTTGGTGGGAGCGGAACGACAGCCTCGAGTAGAGGTAGAGCGGGGCTTGTAGATATAAAAAGGGGGGATGGAAATCTGCCTCATGGATGGGAGTGGATCTGGTTGGAAGATCCATGGATGGGGAAGGTAGAAAAACAGAGTCCCAAAGGAGGAGGCAGATGCAAGGAGAACTGAGAGAACCCCTAAACCCTCTTATTGGGGAGAGCGGGAGACAAAAAAGTGGAGGAGGAAGTTAAGGGAAGAGAAGGAAAAGGTGGAGAGGGAGAGGAAAGAAAGATTAGAATAGCGGATAATGGAGCTACAGCAGAGGGGTCCCTCAGAAGACTATGGCTGGCGGATTCCCCCTCACGACACCAGGTCTGGACAGATGATCGGGACGAAGACACCGTCCCCTTACTGGAAGGGGAGACAGGACAATGACTGAACTCGGACTTTACACTGGACTGGCCGGGATCCTGGAACACTCAGGGGTGCAACCCCTTTACAGTTGAAGAGTGGCACCCCCAATCTAACCTGTTGTTAGGGGGAGGAAACGGTTGGAATACCTTTGTTGACACAGGTTATTTGTTAAACAATCCAATAAATGTTACACCAATTTCTAAACCGAGAAATTCTGTCAATTTATTTGAAGAAAAACCGGAGCCTGAATCTGAACCCTTACAACCACGTAGAATCAAATTTGGCTTTCAATGGATTCGTCTAATGCCATGCACCAGAACGTACTAAAATTAAAACAGTCTGAAAAGATAGCAAGTAAATAGTCTGTCCCTCCCACCTACTCCACAACACAACTTTCTCCTTTTCCTGAAACACTGAATAATCTTTTAGAGAACACTCTTAAGTATTAAAAGAAACTTACATCAAAGTTGTCAGAACCTGTTTGGTTCTGGTGATCTAATTCAGCCTCAACACTGGGACTGTCATTCTCTTCAGCTTTCATCTGCTCCACCTTAGATGCAGTAGAAACACTAAAAATGCCATGAGTGTTGATGCGAACTTTGACCTTAATTTTAGTTTTTTCTCCATCAGTCAGATTTGCAATATTCTGGATAACATATCTGCCTAAAAATTAAAAAAGAGTAAAACAACCCAAAAGTAAGCAGTGAAATCTTAGATTACTCTCTGAATCAATGCAAGTTTTCAAATGTTGTTTGAAGACGTTTAATACTGTGTGACACACAACAGCAGGGGGAAGAAAGACAATCCACAATTATATTTTTAATTTGTCACTGTGAACATATCATGTTTGTTACTTCCGCATGCCTCTAAATGTAAGAAGATTGTGCAAAACACATCTTTTGGATACACAAAGGGCTTCAATGATAACGTATAACTTAAATCCACAGTACTACAATTTCTCTCTCCTTTTTCTGGCAGCCAAGAGCTTCCTGAAAACAGACCCTGACCCTGAACATTTTCCAGGGAGAGGGGGCAATAAGGAGATGGTCTATATCAGTGGTTCTTAACCTTTGTTACTCAGATGCTTTTGAACTGCAACTCCCAGAAACCCCAGTCAGCACAGTTGGTGGTGAAGGCTTCTGGGAGTTGCAGTCCAAACCTCCTGAGTAACCCAAGGTTAAGAACCAGTGGTCTATATCCCAATACTATCACATTCTACAGTCTTGCTGGTGGGGGTCTACTCTGAATGCCTACCCTGCATTTTGAGTTACAAAAAGTGAAAGCTTATACAGAAACAGTGAAAACAGACTGTTAAACTATAGTAACAGATTTCCCATTGTTTCCATCGTATTATTTGGCAGCAATCCACTGCTTTCAAGCAACTTAGATGGAGCCGTGTGTTCTTAAAGAATATTTCTTCATTTCACTGATACCTGAGAACTAGCCAAATAACTTAAAGCATCGAAAGTGCCTCAGCTGACCCATGGGTAAGAAGGGTGGACTTCCCACTGCTTTCCAGGCCAGAAATCCCTGTATGTGCTGATTTAAAATAAGCACATACCTGTATTAAACACAACCAAACAATTTGAATCTTTGACAAGAGTTTCTTCAGACATGCACAACTACTTACCAATTTTACTTTCAGGGTAGGGGACACCATTGGAACCTGAATAGAAAGCCTGAAGTTCAAAAGGACCTTTTCGGTAAAATGTCAAGACTTTGGAGAAAGGTGCTGGATGATACCTGCTGAACACTTCATGAATGCTACAGTCAAAACAAAAGGAGGGTATTAGTTACAAAAGCATCATGAACGATCACTTTGTAATACTATCCTGGGCTTGCTATACCTCATACTTTTCCAATTATCCATATGAGACACACAGTGTTTCATGTTATGAGTCTAAAATTCCATACACCTTGTATATTGATAAATCCAGATGGCGTTGCTATCTTCCCTAAAATAGTCCAGGATTTTCTGTGTGATCTTAGCCTATGCCAGCCAATCTATTAGGAGGTTCTTCAGTATAACACTACTGATACAAATGCAAATTTTACAAGCCCAATAGCTAATATTGCACTTGCTCATTTTAATGGGGTCTAAACAACACTGGTGATCACTCATCTCTCTACTATGTAGTAACTGAGAACAAAGAATAAGGCAACTGCAGCTCAAACCAAGTCCTGAATCACATCTACCAAATTATTCAGAATTGTTAGTTGAACTACAGATATGTCTCACTTGTGCATAAAGTATATGATCATAGAACTAATAATTATTGATTGATTGATTGATTAATTCAGACTTATGCCAATCCTTTTCAAGGTAGAGACTGCTCAGAAGGAATTTACCACTCCTGTCTCCTGTGGTGCTCTGGGACTGTGCAGTTTGCTCATGACTACACAGGCCGGCTTCTTCTCCAGGACACATACCAGAGGGACTGAACGCTCAACCTCTGGCTTCACAGCCAGGTACATAACTCACAAATAGCCATGCTTAAATAGATTTTTAAAGGTGTATTATCTAAGCCTGAACCAGATTGTTTCAATATGTGCAGCAACTGCTGCTGATGACTACGCGACATGCATCCTTGTGCCACCACTTCCACCATCAACATCAAGTACAAAATATGTAAACTAACGGCACTAGTTGTGACTCTGCCACCTCTCCAAGCAGTAAGCAGTGAACTGGAGAAAAACTCACTCACGGTGATATCCTATTTTTCACTTTACCAGAGGTTATGGGGCAGACAGAACAAGGAAACTCTGGCTGTCTTCCTCTAAGCACTGCACTCTAAAACCACTTGAAAGTTGGTTCCAATTTAAGCTGCATGTTAACTTTACATAGCAGTTGTGTTAAAACATGTAACGACAGGTTGTTACTTACCCATCAGCATCTTCACATTCTGTGCTCCACTTCAATGATATTGGGAATGTAACTGCGTCTGTGATAGAGAACTCTCTGACTTTAAAAGCTGGAGATAATATTGCACACTAAAAAAAAACCCCAAAGAAACAAAATATAAAACAAGTTATTATTGCCTTTCCATCAACTCAGATGCAACAATAGCTAACTATTGACTATGAAAGCCTAGTATCAAGATGTTGGGGGGGAAACCTGTGGCTCTGCAGACTCCATTAATCAGAGTTTTTTTTTGTTTTGTTTAGAGACTCCTGACACCCTGGTTCATATACTGTTTCAATGCCCTGCTCATTCTCACCTCCATTTCCCCCCCCTGAAACCTGGATCTCTTATTTTTCCAATTCTTCTGAGTCAATTCTTTCTGTTTTCATGAGTTATGAATTTAATTCCCTGACCGCTGCTGTTGCAGGTTTCTTATCTGCAGTTCTGAAATTGTCCCCTGCTTCTCGCTCCTAATTTGTGAAATTTGTTTCATTTACTTCTCCTGTTTTGCTTGTATTGTTGTAGTTTGTAAATGCCATGAAAGGTTTCAGAACAGAACATCAGAACAGACTCCATTAATCTCAACTAACACAATCAAAGCTCAGAGATGATAAGTCTGATAGCTCAGTGGTTTATATATCTGGCTGTGGAGCCAGAGGTTGGGAGTTTGATTCCCCAGTGTGTCTTTGACAGGGGCTGGACTTGATCAACGGAATCCCTTTCAGCTCTAACAATATCTTGAAGACCACAGGCTTCCTATCTGAGAAAGATATCCTAACATGTAGAAACTGTATTTTTAACGGTAACAGCTCACAACATAATTGCAAATGACCTGGAAGTATTTCCAGCTACTGAAATGAAAGCCATCATTATTCATGTTCTTCTATTCCTATTTACTCTAGCAACTACCCTATGATATAATAAACTTCCAGAGGCAGCTGTGTTAACCTGTAACAACCAAAACATCTTTGGTAACAAGTGGAAGAGAGATCAGATTTCTTAGGACATCTTAGAGAGGGAGGGAGGAAAGGAGGGGGACCTGCTGCCATGTTTTTTGAGACGGGGAGAATTTGCAGCAGAAGATGGTACTGAGAGGAGAGAATGCTCATCTTTTTCCTAGTTCCTTTTCTTTCCCTGCTCATCACCTAGCAGTGAAAGAAAAGGAACGTGGAAAAAGATATGGAGGTTCTCTCCATGGAATTCGTAACCTGTGAGAAAAAGAAGCTGCTCTATGGATGGGACAGATTTTGAGCAGGGAAATACTGGGTCCAGAAAGTACAATTGTAAAATTTCTCCGCTCTAAACTTCCTTCTAAAATGTGCCCTTTTTTTTGAAGCCATGAATGACTCATCTCAGGAACATATTTGCGCAGAAGTCCGACAGCAGATGAATCTTCCAGATCTTTTCAATTGCAATGTGTTTTCAGTAGGGATTTTTCAAGCTGTGCCTTTGAACAGTTGAACTAAGTCTAATTCTAAACATCTGCCAGTGGAGAAGGAACTGCTACCCTAAACATACCTGCAAAGCACAGCCTCTCGCAACCGCTTCATCTGCATTCAGTGTTGTGCTGACATCTTTGCCAAAAAACCTCCCAATCCTCTCTTTGACAGCAGGAATGCGTGTGGCTCCACCTACAACTTCAACGGCACATACATCATCCACTTTGAGCTGAATCTGGTCCATCAAAGAACGAAGAGGAATCTCAATTCTTTCCAACAAGTCAGCACACAACTCTTCAAACTGGGATCTAGAAATGACAAGTTAAGAAAATAACACCTGAAAGTCCTTTGCAAGCGTGTCAACAGCTCTAGTACTGAGACTGAGATCAGAGACACAACCTATATTACAACATAGGAAGATGAAAGGAATTTGATTGCCTCTTGGGTCTGTCAAGAAAAACACTGTGAAGGCTAAAGGAGGCTCCAGCATCTTCTCTCTATCAATACACAACAGTAACTAAAGAAGGTCACACTTCAACCAACCAAACTTGCCAGAGGAGATATTCTTTACTATTCACCTTTCTTGTACAATAACTGGGGTCATCAATGAAACTGAGTTGTGGGAGATTCAATCTAGCTAAAAGGAAGTACATTTAGATATTGTATATCTGAACTATAGCATTCACTACTAAAAGATAGACTGCCACTCACTTGGACGGTTTTAAAAAGAATTAATTAAATTCAAAAAGAATGCACTCAATAGCTATATTGGCATCCTTGCATTTCTGTCAGAAAATGCAACCATCCTCTCTGAAAATTGTTCCAGTTGCAAATGTTTTGGTACTCACATGTTCATTTCTTTGGTTTGTGTTGGAAAAA